TCCGCGCGGGAATAAAAATAGATGTTGGCCGATTCTCGGACCTTCTCAATATGCTCACAAAATTTCATGAGAATCGGTCGAGCCGTTTCGGAGGAGTATGGGAATGAAAATTGTGACACGAGAATTTTATATATAAGATAAATTGCCACTTCAATTTTAGAAGGCTGACGAAACTAACTAAACGTTCCAAGAATTATCCAACATGCTGTAGCATCGACGTCTCTTAAGCGGGATGGGAACAATTAAATGCAACGGCCGACACTCCGTTATCCAGACATAAAACTCCATCTTTACGATCGTCGCAAACGTTGGTGACATTTAGAAAACAAAATACATTGAGCTTGATCGGCTCTCGTCCGAGTTGTCCTCGCACATCGCTGTAGGCGTATTAAGGCTACTTCACACGTGCTAAGGAATATATTGCATAGTAGATATTTTTGCTCAAGAAATAAACATATTCGGTCCTTTGTCGTTTCATACAAACATTTGAAACAACCTTGAGCTTATTTGACGTAATCTAATATACCACTAGCGGTTGCCTACGACTTCGTCCACACGAAATAATACTAAAAAGTACATATATTACTTCCGCACACATTAGCTACCATCCAGTAAAAGTCCCGTCAAAATCAGTCCAGCCATTTCGGCGATTACATAGAACAAACCCTTTGCGGATAGACTGCTTACAAAATTAAATATTACAAAATATACTGCGTATTTTATGAAATTATAGGTTATTTTAAGAGTTCCGTATCTCATAGGAAAAAAACGGAACCCTTATAGGATCACTTTGTTGTCCGTCCGTCTGTCTGCCAAGACCCTTTTTGTATTATCGAATATTCAGTATTTAATATTGTTATTAATTTATTTCTGAGTTAACATATGTAGCTATATGATACAATAAACGCCCCTTTATCTGCACAACAATAAATGGAATGTATAAAATGTTTGTGTGAGTAAGATCTAAGGAGTTGAAAACGTTGCCATTTAACTTTTAGTAAGCTGATGAGCGTACCATTGTTTAAAAAACTCTTATCAATTGTATCGCTTTTAATTAATAAATACCAGGCGTGTTTACTCTACTTTTATTCATATTTGGTGAAACATTTCAACTATTTCAGACTATTCTGAAAGGTGAAGTGACAATTTTTTCTGCCAGTTAAATATAACTGTACATTAGTAAATACTCGTACTTATTTTTAAGTAAATAGTAATTATTTCGAAGTGGTATTAGTGGAATTGGTCATAATATCGTGTTAATACCATAAAATACATATAAATGAGGGACAGACATTTGTAATTAAAACCTATTTTTGTACCATAAGTTGTAAAATGAAATGCGTAATTTTTTGAAGTATACAATGAAAGGAGCCATTGCCTGGGTCTTCGTCGGTGCGGAAATTTTTTTCCGCATATAATAAGTGTCTCTGTCCTTCCATACTATGTTCTACATCTATGACAAATTTCAGCAAAATAAGTTGAGCCCTTTTGGAAATACCTAGTTACAAACATCCATCCATCCATCGATCTAGACTTTCGTAATTTTAATGTAAAATTAGTTTGTTCTGTAGTGCATTGAAATAGGTATTGTTAACTATTTTTATAAATTAAAATTATGTTGTTCCATTTGCATTGATCTAATTTTGATGATTTTGGAATGAGCTTTTAAAGTCGCCTCCGATTATACAGGATGATTTGATATTATTTTTCTTTTTAAATTACAAGTTTAATAAATGAATGTTTGCAGTTTTCTGCCTACATTAAAAATACGTGGTAATATATCGTTAGGTAATAATAGTGCAGCATAGTCTAGGTGCATGTGAACATGCAACCGACGTGAAGTGAGGTTACGCTGTAATCAGAAAAGCTAAGCTCCAAGCTCATGAAATGGATTTAAGGTGGCAGTGTCACGCGAGCTCGCCATCAAAATAAAATCTAACTATTTTTAATTCAAATTAATTTTTAAGATTGTTTTTAAAACTTATTATAATATTTAGTTTTTTTTAGTATATTCAATGAAAAATCTAGTACTAAAACATTATCCGAGAGATGGTACTCGACGATTTAATATGACTGGTTAAAGTTTAGGCTGATTAAGATTGTTTAAAAAAAAACACGCTGGATGATAGTTTCGCGTGATTCTAAAACGCTTTTTAGATTTTGATACAATTTAGCTGACAATGCTGACGCTCAGCGTGTCTCTATATCCAGCTGCCTATTGACTCTATTCTTGTGACTCCTATAGCATATGTTGTACTCTTTATTATTTTAAATTATTACGTTGAAACAGTACCGCAAATGAAGTACACTAGTAAAATAGCACAGTATTCCCACTGGAGCGCACAAATAAATTAATCAATGGCTGCAGCGGGCAGGATGCGGGCGCGTCTAGTTTTAATTGTTCTAAAACGTAATGTGCCCCCACTACTCTGCTGCTACGAACAGCATAGTACAAAGATTAAGGACGACTATACACGGTATTTAACACACAGATTTTTGTTAAATTTTTAATTTTTCTTGTTAAATATGAACAAAAAATATCAAGCGGTTACCTTTCCTCATTCATTATAAGAATAACCAACATAACCATTCTTGTAGATTTTTCGAAATGTATTTTATAACATTAGTCCTCGGTGGCTCAGGGGTCCACTTGACTTGCAATTTGCAGGTTCTGGGTTCGGATCCATACAATGTGTTTTTCGATTTCCGATTTAAATATGTACATATATCCGACATTCTTACGGTGAAGGAAAACATCGTGATGCAATCTGCACATATCTGAGAAGAAATTCAAAGATATGTGTGAAGTCAACCAACCCGCACTTGGCCAGCGTGGTTGACTATGGCCTAATAACTCTTAACTTAGGGTAGGCCCTCGGTGGGGACGTATAGTGAGCTGATGAGGATGATTATATAAAAGTTTCATTTTGGGCTTTTCGATCTTATTTTGCAGTATAACCCTAAGTCATCCATCAACCCCCAACCCATTTAAAAAGTATTTTATAATCTTTCAACAAATCTCTCGTCTACAGGTAGCTTAATTTTATTTATAGCCCATAAAGTATAGGCTAAAGTCCAAACGTATTCAATGCAGAACAATATGTAATTTAATCAATAAATAGCCTTAACAACTCAATGTACCCATTAGATACTTCATAGATACTAACCTGCATAGTATCGTATTATTGTACTGCTCATTTAAATATCTATACATTTAATAATATTAATGTGTGTAATGAGTGTTTAATAGCAACAAAAACAATATTTCGTACACATATTTTCATCACTTTTAAAACCATCTTTTAAATTTGTTGTCTGTCTGGCTGGGACGATTTATACGGGACTTTTACTGGCAGGTAAAAGTGTTTACGGAAGTAACATAGGCTTTTTTTTCTGACAAAGTCTTGGGCAACCGCTATTAAGCAATGTACCTAATTGTAAATCTACTGCCTGCCACACTCCTTTAAGCCCCTTAGTCAATCTACACTAAGGAATTGAATTAACCAGTAAATAATTTTAAGTGTGCTTTCGCTATGCAACTGTTTAAAACGATTAATATGTGAAAGTCGTTTAAAGGTCACTCTTGTGGCAACCCTATTATGACGAGGAAGCTATCCATCCAAAGCGCAATGATGATGCAGGAAATGTGGGCCGGTGTCTCGCAATGTCCGGTGCAAGCCGCACTAAGTTACCAACAGATGGGACGCGCGTCAGGAAAAGGATATGACATAGCTCGTAACACCTGTGTCTAACACATCGCAGTTAGTGTAAAAGAGTATGGAAAATTGAATGACTATTTTATATGTAAAATTAGCAAGAACGTCATTTCATACACCTCATATTTCTTAACCAAAAAACGAATTAACTAGAATAAGTAATCTGAGGTATCGCAAGTAATTTCCAGACACCTTAGAAAGTTTGGAAGTATCAGTCTTAAGAGTACACGTGGAGGTATCGAATAAAATGCGACTGTTTTATTTTTCTTTCCAACTTAAATATATTCTAATTGAAGGGCTTAGACAGTGGCCAGTTCTAGTGAATGCAGCTCGTTAAACTAAACGGCGCATTATATTGCCGGGAAAGTTATCGGTGTTGCTAGTTGACAATACGTGGGCGAAATGCTCACTGTTTTGTATTGGCAAGGAAATACGCATACAGATAAAAAAATAAACATTCACTTAACTGCTTAAAATCCTCTTAAGTAGAATTGTAAATTCAAAAATCGATAAAGTCTACGTACTCTAAAAGCGTACTCCATAAAGGATGTGAGAGAAATGTATGTTCTGTTCCCAACGCCTACTTAGTCCTTTCGAAATAAAATCGGTTTCTTATAGCTATAGTCATAGTACACAAAATATCACACCATTTACTGCTTGTTTTCCATTTTAACAATGGCTTTCAAAGCAAGACAAGCTTCTAAGTCTTCATCGAGAAAAGTATGGAGAAATAATTTTGTGGATGCCATGTTTTGAGAAGCCCCGCTTAGATCGCATTCGCAGTTGTAACACTTAATGTTTGTTTCCTCAATCGAGTTAAATTATTTCCTTCTGGTTAAAATACCTTAGTGTACAATTATGACCAAAGCAAAATACTTAATAGCTTCACTTAAACTATGGAATTGCCGTTACTATTTACGTTAAGTACAGATTAGAATAAAATATAGTGTATGTCGTGGACTTATAGATGAACTACGAAGTTCATCTATAAGTCCAATTTTTATAGTAGGAGGCAAACGGTACAGCGGGTAACTTTTTTTTTATAACCGAAGGGGGCAAACGAGCAGCGGGAACACCGAGGTGTTCAACGCCCATGGACATCAGCAATACCAGAGTAACCGCAGATGCGTTGCTAGCCTTTAGGTGGTGATTACGTGATGGACTAGATGAATTACTGAGTTAAGGATGCGTTGTTAGTCTTTTCGTAGAGGGCGTAGTTACGAACGAGAAGAGTTTGAAAAGAGGATGTTGTTTGGACGATTTCCGAAAATAATAAAACAAAGGTTCATTGAAATATGAACAGTTTTAATCGGAATCAAAATTCAATGGATCTTGGAAAGCTTTGGCGGGGGGTTGCAGCATCTTGGTGCGCGCGGCCAGGCGCAGCGTGGCTGGGCCCAGGTTGGAGACAGGAGGGTGAAGACGTGGCTGCGGGAGTGCAGCGCTCTTCGCGCCCAGGCCAGCTTTATTTTCATTACTCAACAGCGGTATCTGAAATTTTACCCATCTTTGTGCACTAGATTTATATAATTTGGTTAGTAACCAATCAGTATTCGACTATAATAATAATAAATTTAGCCAGAAGTTTGTATTTGATTGTTATATTGTACTGTCTATCTTATTGACTAAGTTTCTCACATGAATATTCCGTGAAATTGTGTGAATTTAATCCTCGCAACTTGTTAGGCAACACACGACGTTAAAATGCAATGAATATAAGTTGATATAAATAGATTCTTGGAATATACAAGTGGAAGCAATCATGGTGTCGAACGGATAGATTGAAAAACTGGGCTGTTGATCGATGCGCGACGAACTGCGGACACTTTAATAGATCGGCTTATTGCGAATATTGTGGTAATCAGTTGTCGGCTTACGCCAACACCGACGTACGTGACGATAGCTCTTTGCTCCTTTACTTAAGTACCATTAAGCTGCATATACTTAAGTTAAATATTTTATTTAAAACGTGCAATTCAATACGTTACATATGTTTTTTTCTTTGTATTATCAAATTCAGAATTTATAGAATGAAATACGTGAATATTGAAAATCATTATAAAATGACGACATATTCCGAATAAATTTGGACCTATTACGAATAATCGAAGATGGTTATCATTTTAAAATAAATTTTTATTGTTTAATGACACAAATTTTGCAAATAAATAAATATATTTTTTATAATTTTATTTAACAAAGACCCCGCTGTTTTTAAGCCTCTATGCGATGCCTTTAAAAATATCGAATTATGAATATATTCGGTATCCATTTATTACTGTAAAAAAAGTAGTAATTAAAATATAATTGTTGTTCTCTCAATTTCATTAAGGTTGCTATATTTAACTCGGTCTTGCCATTTAATTTTATCCACTATTATTGTTTTTAAAATACAGTATGCTGATAAATTTTATATGCGTTTTATGATTTTGGGGTAATTAATTTTATTTTATATTTATCAGATTCTTTGATATCACTAATGGATATCGAAAACTTTTATCCACACAATCAAGACCATAACATGTAAATTACTTGATTTTGCTCAGCTTTTTTTTTTTTTTATATCAAAAGGTGGCAAACGAGCGAGCGGCCACCTGTAATCGCTGAAATAGCGAAGTGACCGTTGCCCATAGACATACGCAATTGCATATGCGTTGCCTACCTTTAATCGACGGAGGAGAGGATGCACAGAAAGAAAATATCTACCCTTTCCATGCACCCTCTCATCCGGAAAGTCCACTTCCACTTCCCATCCTTTCTTTATAAAGAAAAGGATGGGAAGGGAAAGAGGACTAAAAATAGGCCTCCGGGACGCACACTCATCAGACGAAACGCGGAATTTCTTCCACTTCACGTCTGTTTTCTGTGTGGTGGTGGTATTTCACCGGGCGAACCTGGCCAATTCGTGCGAAGATGTTAAAGCGGGTTCTACCACTCTTAAAGCTTACAATCAATGAAATGAATTAATATTTATGTTATACTGACGATATATAAATACGGCGAAGATATAAATATTTACAGTACAGGGGACTAACCTGTAGGCATATATCATACTAATATTATAAATGCGAATATTTGGATGGATGTTTGTTAGAAGGTATTTCCAGAACAGTTAAACGGATCTCGGTGAAATTTGGCATACATATAGAACGTAGTCTGGAAGAACACATAGGCTACTAATTATTTTTTAAACCGCACGGACGTAGTCGCGGGCGACAGCTAGTTTCACATAAAACAATTCAAAAAGTATTGAATAATTACACAATTGTAGGTAGTTTTATCAACAACTCACGTTATGTCCTATGAAAGTTACATATATGAGTAAAAAAACAGTATTTGTATAATAAACAGCTGAACCATAAATAGGCATTTAAATATAAACCGTATCTCAAATAACACGAAAACAATCCATTGAATTTCCATTTAAAAAAGCTTTCAAAGACTCCAATTACAATTCAACGAGTCGGCATTTCATTCTTGCATTCGAAGTACGAATTAATAATTGCAATACGAACATCAATCGACGCGGGAACACGGTGGCGAGAGGAAAAAATCACCCAGCTAGTAGACCGTAAAAGCTAGGCGACTACGCATCTATATATCGAGGGGACAATCAATACATTGACTAGCGAGTGAACATTCTAGACAAACGGTAGTCAAGATTTCCGGTGTAACGTGCGTCTGCGCACCGTCGCCGTCCACGCATGTCTATGAGGCCAATAGCACTAATCAAAACAACTCCTCTATATCCACTATAATACCGACGGAAACACGAGTATCTATTATTTTAGAAACTCGTGGTTTGATGTCATTTATCGAATTGTTGAAATGTGTGATTGCGACGATTACGTTAAACTGATAATTAAGATGCACCGTTGAAACGCAAAGCGTCAAATTATTTACGTTTTATTGGCAAATAACGACAAGATTAGTATCTAAATTTACGCCTAACTGGTGATGATTAAAAAAACACGCAAAGAACATAAATTACGAATATCGCGCTCGTAATGTGCAACCCTCTGTTTTTAAAGGAGCCAACCACGGTTGTTTATGCGAGGCCGCTAGTTTAGCGAGTCATAAAAGCCATATATGTGAAAGTAAAGTACTTTATTTAGAGCTTAAATTATGACAGGCAGTGGTCGTCACGGTGCGGACCATGCGATGAAATAATTTAACGACGGGCGTCGTTTTCCGCAGCGGTCGCGACGACCGACGAGTGCAGTAAAGGTTGCTCCACGCCGGCGCGCCGCCGGTGTACGATGACTGGTGAACTGTGAACGTGCACGTGGTTCGCTTTCGGATCGGCCGCACGGAAACAATCGAGTGGCTCGCGGTTATTTCAAGAGAACACATAATAGAGCGGCGCAGCGACGCATTTCATCTTAAACGTGTAATTAAAGCGATTGCAGCCGTCCTCAATGGCTCATAGACTCATTGTATGAACTATAATTATTAACGCTTCTATACGAGCGACCAAATGCGCCGACAGACTTATTCAATATATTAATTTGCGGTGAGACAAGCTTATAAACTATAAAAGCTCTCACGTTTTTATTAATCGATAAAGAGAGATAGTTAATGTAGATCTAGTCTTAATCTATAGTTAGCGACTCCGTCCGAGCGGGATTAAAAAATAGATAGTAACCGATTCTTGGATACTTCATACTGAATATATTGATATAAAATTTCATACGATCGGTCATGCCGTTTCTTAGGATTATGGTAACTAACATTGTGACACGAGAATTTTATATATAAGATTAATTACATTTCACTAAAGAAAATTGGTACAAAACTAAGCTAGCAGTCGGGCATATATTACTCCAGATATATTTTATATATATTTATTACTTTGAATATATCAACCGTATGTATGTGTGCACCTTTATAACAATCGGTAAGATGCAACGATGCATGTGTAAGCGTGATGCAGTTTAGATAGCTCGCGTTTGCAACTCAAGGATATAGCGACGATACACGTTGACTTACAGCCGGTACGTGCTCCTGCTATTTAACTGCCGCAAAGACAATTCCTTTGCAATCAAAATGAAGTTACAGAACTTTGTCAGTAAACAGCGATAAAAAAACTTTAGGCGTATTTTACCTTTTTTTTCAGGCCCCGGGAGGACGCGGTAGTTATGAGGGATTCTCTTCGAGGCCACAAGCACGCTTGCGCGATAGGTTTATTTTACCTTACAAAATGAGTTTGTCAAGCATCTTATTTCTTATACAAGGTAGAGAAAAGACGAGCAGAAATAGTTTACAGTAAAGAAATAAAAGCATAGAAGACGGAACCTCTTATTTATTAATTTTCTTAACTTTTTGTCGTAATGCAAGTATTTCGTTAAAGATGTTATCTTTGTATAACCAAAACACAAAGTTTGGTCACATCGACGGCATTTGTCGCCGGTTCCTTTTGTAAAACTCAATAAGAGGTTATCACCGATTTCCCAGAGCTGCGAAACCTTATTTCGTCAATGGACCTCCATATATGGCATTAAAGGTACGAGAATGGAGGAGCGCCTCAGTACCACAGATCTCTTTCCAGATAGCGGTTTTACTGAGGTACTTTTGAATGTTGTTTTCTGTGAATAATATTGCGGAAACGGAAAGGTTGTTAAGACTTAATATTTTTTTTATTTAAATCACTACCAATAGTTAAATATAAAGTGTCGTTCTGGACTTATAGGAACCAATTAATGTAATGTTTACTCCTTAAAAATGTGTGAATCCTAACAAACTATGCTACATGAGAGGCAAACATTGCAAGCAAGTGTTATAGTATATAGTATATGTAAGTATAACATTTTACACATTACTTTGGTAGTTAGTATGTACGTGAAACAGCTCGTTGACAGATCGGTGAAGGCACTTCGAAATGAGCACGGTCTTTAGTAATAAAGAGCACGAAGAATATTTGTTACAGTATCATTTAATGGGATACAAGCGTATTTGTTAGCTTTTTTCCAGATTCTCATTCTACACAGTTTGTATCAGCCCTAAACAGTTGTAGGACCCTACCTAGTTATACAGATTAATTATAACGCTGTGTTTATATGAGCACGGCTACATCCAACGACTAAAGACGACGCTTTATGGAGCGATTGCATATTAAGATAATTTAAATGATGAAGATTGAGACGATGTGAGTAAATCAAAAGACCGTCCGAGCCGCAACATGACGTGACTTCGTGTTTAAAAGTGATTTATTTAGGATGATTGGTGAAATGCGTCATTTGGTATTCATACGTCTTTATAATGCACCTGTCGCTCGAGCACATTAGTTAATAGAAATGTTAAATGTTGTCCATCGCTCAACATATTTCTCGAAATTGAAACAATCAGCGAGCCTTTTCTGGAACGTGTGCTAAGATATGTAGAGCCACGTTACTTTAAACCCACTTGCAACATGTTGAGGGTGACATCTGAGAAAGCAAAAACTCTGTCTAAAAAATGCAAGCCATTTTTGATCCTAAACTCCAATAAAATGA